TAGAAACGTCAACCAACTATATAGTTAGGTATTACAAAGTCACTCTGGGCTCGCGATTTACCTTATTAGTTATTACTTATTTATACATCACATTTTGATACCAACGTTCAATATAACTATATCACATATTTTTAAGTAAATTGTAAAATTTACTTACAAGCTTAATAGCTATATTTAATTTATTTTTATTTTTATTTGTTGCATTAAAATTTATATTCAATTAAAAAATTTACCTGACATATTTAAATCATTAGAAGAAATTATACAAATTTATTATTTTAATTGTATACGTATATTTGCAGTATATTTATTTTATTTTAGTTTTCAATGACTGATTTCATTTTCACAAGAGATATAGAATAGGTGGTTCTAAATTCTAATACAATAGCAGATCTTCGATATTTTGAAGGGGGGGAACATATAAATTGTATAATTTTAATTTTAATTAATAATACATACATACTATCAATAATGATTATAATAAGTAATAATTAATAGTTGGTAGTATTATCTTTATCAACTGAATGTTTCATTTATATGATACTCGTAGTTACATAACCACTTGTCCACAGAAAATTGACAAGGGGCACGTGACTCTCCTCTAAATTCACCACTGTACATAATTTTTTCAAATAAAAAATGTTTATATAGTTTGCCATTTCGAGGGGCCACATTTAACTGGGAAAACAACTGTGGGTCAGCTGACCTCCCAAACCCCCCCCCCTGGGTCCGCCCCTGATTCTGCACCTTTACTCTTATACCTATCGAAACGTTTAACATAGGTAGTATCGGACTGGATAAAATTAAATGGTTATAATTTATATTTATTAAAATATCATGATAGGATAGATAGATAGGAATCGTTTAAAGTTTTATCAGAGACGACATGAACATTTTATCCACAATTTATTACGATGTTAACATCTAATAACTGATTAATAATTTTTATTTTGTCAGGTATTCAAATTTTATTATCTTAATATTGTTGTACAATATTAATGTAACCTATAACTTCCAATAATAAAATATACTCTATGCACAAAATGCATTCATAATACTATCTTTCCAGTTCCCTTATGTGGCTATATGTATACTATATATTATACAACAACTATATGATTGTATTATATTATATTGTATTCACCATAATATAATGGGTGTATAGTGGTTTTGGCATTCATTGAGGAGGCTATACTTGTACCTATTCCTGGCTAGACATATTGACGCGAAATTCGAATAATCTATAGTCACCTATACTCTTAAAAACGATATTTTCTCTTTAAAAATCTCTCGGAAAACAAGACGTGTCAAATAACCATTAAAAACTTAGAAATCACAACAATTCAATTCGACAATGGGTACGATTAATAAAGACACCTATAATATTATAAATTTCCAATTGATATTGACTTATTTGGCGATGACGCGCAATGAAATAAATTGGCTGTCACACGTACGTCGTGTTGAACACCAAAACTATTTTGTTTCCAAAAGTTACTGAGTGATTATCGGTCAGCCATGCCAGTGGCAGCGCCTCTACGGCGTTTGTCGACGTTTGCCGAAGTTTGCGGACGGTTATGACGTGCGGTCCCTCTACAGAGAACCGCGCATGCGCAATACGTATTATTTTATGAGAGCAATAATAATATATTGTGTGTGTGTGTGTTAATTTGTGTACACATTTTACGTGCCGGAGATGGTGGCAGCTAAGCTATATTGAACATTCTATTTCCATATTATTAATAACATTGTATCCGCCTGTTGCGCGCGCAGCATAGTGCCGCCGTAGGAATCTTGTCTTGATTAATGACCGAGATTGGGTCAATTCCTTAGTCCCTTGAATCAAAACACTATAAACGTACATTTTATAAGCACACGTTTAATGGATAGCACACGATTTCGAACGTTCCTTATAGGCAGCACCTTTTCGAAAGCGAACGTTTTTACCTGCAAATGTTGCCGTTAACTGTTACCAATCACAACGATTATATTATATTACATCATTTTACAAACACAATTACAATATATACACTCGCGAAGACTTAAAAAATAACATTTTCCATCAACTGTTTGAAAAAAAAACATTAACTTTTCGTCAACATCCATACATTATTATTTAATTATTTTTCCATGTACTTATTTTCAATTAAATTTAAGTACCCAAAAAGGGGCATATTAATAATTCACTTGGCGTGTTTAAAGTCTGAAAAGATTTATCAATTTTCGTTGATATACTTTAAGTTTTAACTTTAATGTTTATTTGAACATTTCGTTATTCCGTCTCTGGGTGGTCTTACAAATTATTATTTATAACTATTTGATAATATATTGCATCTTTTTTGAGATGCTAAACGTTATTCACTATAATAACACTATAACCGCTGTCCATCAAAACAACTTAATCTGATGACAGACTAATATCCAAAAATTACGACTATTTTCAGAATTATTCAGAATTATTTACAGTGGAATATTGGCTTAGTAAACCGCCATATCTTATTTAATATCTTTATTACTATCTAAGCAGTATTATATTATACAACATTAAAGTGCAAATGTAAAATAAACGACAAAGTAGCTCGTTTGCATATGTATTTGAATATAAGGTAAGTATAAAATATTATTTCTTTGATCTACCGTCAATGGTATTCATAATCGAATTATTGCGAAAAAAGTATCGCAATCGTATAACACCTAATTTTATTCATTTCCCCAAAGGTCTATAATTTAAAAATACAAGCCAACGATATTTTACAATATTAAAATAATGTTAACCACGATTTATTTGCTCTGGATTTCAACCACCCCTGGCTGACCCACAAAATGATATCCGAAAATATTTCTGTCAAAACTATTTTATCCGAAACAATATTACATTATTACACTGAAAAAAATAAGTAGGTAAAAACAAAAAAAAATAAGGTAAATTCAACAATATTTTTGTTACTCCTGAGCTAACAAATAAATTATTATACCTACATCAATAACATTGTTAAATTTACAATATGAATAAAACATAAATTATCTTTGTTAATACAACAGATATTGTGTTAAACGTAAATTAACCTTATTATTATTTACATAATTAAGGATAGTTAATTCAACAATGCAATTTGTTGATAACAATTTTAATAATGTCTAATTAACAATCGACATTTATTATTTTAAATTAATTTTTCTGTTAATTCTATAATATGATTTCTGTTTACTACAATGTTTTATTGTTGTTTGAAGGTTAATTCAACAATATAATTTGTTGATAACAATTTTAATAATGTCAAATACACAATCAACATTTATTATTTTAAATTAATTTTTCTGTTAATTCTATAATATGATTTCTGTTTACTACAATGTTTTATTGTTGTTTGAAGGTTAATTCAACAATATAATTTGTTGATAACAATTTTAATAATGTCAAATACACAATCAACATTTATTATTTTAAATTAATATGTCTGTTAATTCCATAATGTGATTTGTATTATTTACAAAGTTGTATTGTTGCTTATAGTTCTTACTCCTTAGGTTCCTCAGGTACAACTGACAAAATATATGTCATAATATAATATATAATAGTTTTTATGATATAGATTAAAAATGTACATTTAAAATGAACAAGGCTCAATTAAAATAAACTAAAAAGTAGTTTTTTTTAAATTTATTATAATATTTAAACAAAACAATAAAATAACAAATTATGATAATGTATTACAATGTATTACCTTAATATGTTAGTGACAGTAAATCAAATTCTAGCCTAGTCTTGGCTTCACAATACATTTTTCTTACCTCTTACTACAAATTATAAGTTAATTATACAAACTATTAATAAAATAATATTTAATAAAAAACATAAATAGAAAATAAATTGAGTTACAATATATTTAATATAAAAAATGTTGCCCTTGTCTTGGCTTTACAACACAAAATTAATCTCAATACTTAATACAAATCTAAAGTTAAATATACAAACTATTAATAAAATAATATTTAATAAAACATAAATAGAAAATGAATAGAGGAAATATTTATAATATATAAAAATTTGGCCTTTTCTTGGCTTCACAATACAAAATACTTAGGTATGGGTATAAAATCAATACTTATTAATAGAGCTAGGATTTTGGTGACTTTTGCATTTTTTTTCTTTAAGTGCTATACAATTCTAACCAAAAACTAAATTTGTTTCGTGATTTAACAATGTAGAATATGTAATTTTTATTTTGCATTTTTTTGCATTTTTTGCATTTTTTGTGTTAAATGCATTTTATTGCATTTTTAAGGTCATTTTTACGTAATATTACAAATATTACGTTCATTTTGTGTATTTTAACTAATTTTTGTTTATTTTAAGCTTTTTTAATACGTGTGTAAATAATGTAATGTAATAAATAATGTAATCGGAGAAACAATATCAAACAAACTGAATAATGTTTTGATGAAAAATAATGGGTTCAAAGTTTTAAAAAATATATCTGCTATTCTGGACGGTGAAAATACAAGTAGAGATGGTATTCCGGAAGACCTAACTTTAAATGATATGGTTCATTTCAAATATGCCCCTGTTACTTCTGTGGACGTTGAACGAAGTTTTTCTTCATATAAAAACATTTTATCTGACCGCCGTCGCAGCTTCCTGTTTGAAAATCTTAAGAACCATCTAATTGTGCAATGCAATAATATGTGCACAGGTAAAAAAATATGACATATTTTTCATTAATTTATTTTAATATATGATTTTATTGATTTTTCAGAATAATTATACCAGGAAGCAAGTCAAATTTGCATGAATTCACAAGTCAAATTTATACCTATTTTATTCATAAATCATAATTATTAATTAATATTTTAAAAATAAATTTTTTCACTCATCTAAGTACATTTTTTGGTCATTTTTTAAGTTCATTTTTTAGAGTTTTTAGGTCATTTTTGCATTTTTTTTAGTGCATTTTTGCACTCCTAGCTCTGCTTATTAAATATATATTTAATAATATATTTTATTTATTTAGTTCTGAAATAATTAAACTTATAATTGGATGTGATTGGTCTGACTTAATGTGAATATTATAAAAAAACTTTTGTATGAATAACCATAAAATATAAGATTCATCAGGATATAACAAATTGAATGTATGGAACAACTTAAAAACGACATCAACTGCTCTCTGAATGGTTAAAACTTTGTATTTAATATCATCAAAGTAAACAATTATGTCTTTTGGTTCATGCAATTGACCAATTATCACAATAAATGGTTGGATTGGGATACCTAAACCTGTGAACAATTGAAAATTAGAATTAAATAAAAAATATTTATAGGAAGGAAATTCATATTTGAATATAAATAATCTAAATTAAACATTCAAATAGTCAAATCATTTTTATAGATTTAATTATATAAGCAGTGATAATTTACCTATGTTTGTCTATAAAGTTTGGAAATACTTTAAGAGTAAATTGTATTATATAAATCATTTATCTTGCACTTTTTTAATTTACACACTCCAATTAAACTTATTATTCTTTACCCTCTTTTTTAGATCTAATAAATTGTATCCTCTTCTTTTCTAGATTTTCCACACTTCATGCATTTACAATTTTCTCTGCCTCTCCCTCTATAAGACATTCCCAAACCATATCAATATATTGTAGCTCATCTAGTCAAATATTTTTGCCACGCATATACTTTATAAACCATAACATTAATTTGTTTTCTATAGTATACCTTTTTTTCTAGCTATTATATCTTCGAACTGCAAAACTGAATCAACATTAATCATAAATGACTGCTGTGAATCTCTAATTGAAAACTTTATTATGGATTTTTGGCCTTTTTCGTTACGAGTGGATTTTTTTGCAGTAGGAATAAATACTGCGTGTAAAAGATGAAATATACAAGCATCACGGCCATCTGAAAAATAATAAATAATTTACAACATAATTTACAATATTTAATGCTTAAAGAGAATACATACTTTCTAACAAATTCTTTTCGAGAATTTCATCTAGTAGTTTTAAACTTTGTGAATCTTTTATTTTTAATTTTAACAATTCCATAAGTTTGGATGATACATCTGGATAAATAGTCAATAAGTTTGATGCAGATGGATAGAGCATATTAAAATCAATATCAATCTAGGATAAAAAAATTAATTAATATAGGTAGATAAGGAATTAAATAAAAGTAATATATAGAATAATACTACAAATTTTTATACAGGTATTTTGTTTATAACAAACTAACGATTTTATGTCGAAACTGGTTATTAATTATTAAAAGTATTACATTATAATATACTAGGCTTTGTTTTTCGATTAGATTATTTAATATATAGCTTGTCATAAATTAAATATAATATAACATTTAACATAGTTCTATACAAATCTATTTATTATACAATTAATAAACTTTAAAGTTTAAATTATTATTATTATTATTATTTTATATTATAATAATTAAAATATTTCAATTCAAAATTTTTTATGATGTTTATACTTACTAATTTATAACCAGCTGGGAGTTTGTAACTGCTCCAATGTTTTAATGTCTCAGTTGTACTCTGACTGTTTTTAATATAATTTAGCCTATACTTGACAGTTGCCTTCCAAATAACCTCAATTTCATTGAATGTGCAGTTATCATGATTCAGACTATTTAAATATTGATCTATATCAGTTTCAGAATCTATAAAGCAACAAAAAAAGGTAAATACCAATATTTTAATAGTTACAAAAATCAAAAACAAATTTTAATTCATCAAAATATTCACCAAAGTTAATCATGTGACGGACATTACTCATTTCAACATTTGATGGTTTAGGTCTTTTTGTTGATTCTATAAGCCCACCGTTTTTTAAATTGCGCACCACATTATGATACTTTGCGTATAACTTCCCTTTAGGAGCTTTGCTGCCTTCACGCATAAAGTAATAATCCTAAACAAATTAATATTTTAAATTTACATTTGCTCATTTATATTCAATAGTTTTAAAAACAAAGTACCTTAACTTCCTTTGGGAAAGCTGCAACAATTTGATCAGAAATTTGTTCTGCAGTTTTAACTGTCATAATAACATCTTCTTTTATTGCTGTCTTAATTACCATATCTACAAGAATTAATCTACACGCGTCATTTAATGAACCATACTTTTTGTAGTTGGCAAGCACCAAATGTCCTTGTGATGAACTTTCAAGTATTTCGCATAAGCTTAATAATGGCTTTGTAACAGTTATTGATGTTTCAGGAATCTTTATAGGAATTTCGTTTGAAATATTTTGGCCAACACTTTGAAGCTCCAATAATTCATTTAGAACTGGATTGTCTTTTTTCCAATTTGTTAAATAACGTTCAAATTTAATTTGAACTCCCAAAGGATAATTTTTCAACAACTTTTCACATTGAGCTGTTGTAATATATCTCAAACATTCTAAGTCAATCATCGAATCTAAAAATTTTTAAATTTGTAATATTAGCTAACACTTACATTAAACTCTTTGTTTTTTACCAATGCATGTTTTATACAAATAGCTCAATCTCCATTCACTTAACAATAACCACAAGCTATATGATTCTTGTTCTGTAATTTTTGACCAATCATTGTTGCTTGAGCTATGGGGTTCATTCACATTTTGAAAAAGAACAAGGTTATCAATATTACTTGTATTAAACAAGTCAGATGAAAATTCATTTGTGCCTTCATCTCTTTCATCCATTTTATCTAACATATATAAAGCAAATTAATTATTAAATTTAATGTTGAAACATATTAGTTTATATAAAATTATTAAAAACATCTAAATAGTTAAACGTAAAAAAAAGTAAGTTAAATTTATAATGTATATTCATAAATATATTAACTTATAACTATGCTAACTAATATTTTTTATGAATATACACTAAAATATTAGTTAGCATAGTTATAAGTTAATATATATATGTAAAAAAATGTAATGTATTAAAAATATTCTTATACCTAAATTATTATCATTAGTAAAGTGTACATATTAATAATATTCTTTAAGCCGTATCATAATTTGATTATTGATGACTCTAATAATATTAATTGGGGGTCCATTCAAATCATCAATATTAAAAATTCTTAAACTACTTGGGTGTGTCAAATTTTCTTCAACAACATATGCATCAAAATGTGAATGATAAAAATTTACTTTAAATTCTTCAGCAAGAATTAAACATTTATTTCCTTCAGAAACTATAATTTGTATTATTTTAAAAAGCTTTAATGTTTGTATCACTCTTGTGACAAACAAATCTACTTTGAATAAAGTTCCTCTGTAATCTACCTGGGTGTAACATTTAAATTGATGATTTAAAATTAAACTCTGTATAAATGGTATATGTTCATTATTTTTTATTCTGTGGGTTTCATTTATAATTAAATTACTAGGAGTAGGATTCAGAAGTTGATATGCGAATTTCATTTGCATTTTTTTCCCCAGGGTATAGGTTATATTTTTACGAGAGGAAGTAGCATGTGCATATAATTTCAGCTCTTTATGTTTAGCCTCAAATCTAAAGCACCAAAAATGTCTAGGTGGACCAGACTGCCTAATAATGGTTGGGTAATGAGTCAATATGTGGTGTTTTGGTTTTAATGAATCATGAAATAATAAAACATATTGCCTATTATGATTTAGAATTAAATTTTTCAGTCTAATTACTTTTTGTTCACATATACTATAAGATAAAACTATGTCAATAATTTGGATTAAATTCAAAAATAATAGCCAGACTTCATCATTTTCAGGAACCAAGTCCCCGACCATTAAAGGAAAAAAGTGTGTAAAAGTCATCATTTCTCGGGCAGACATTTTGAGATGAAAATTTTGCAAATGTTTTGTATTTATGGAAGGTGAAATATTTCCTATTTCTATTGAACCATAATTAAAACTACTTTTTCTTAAATTTAATGTGTCTAAAGAAAAATACTTGACAGTTTCAGTGAAGTATTTAATAATATGACACATGTCATAATGACATATACCTTCAAATAAGTCATGCATGACATCCACACAAAAGTTTTGTGTAACATGAAATGAAGGTATTTTATTCAAAAATGACTCACCGTGAACTCCTGTTTTAGAAATATCATTAATAGCAACATCAGTATTATAATTAGTAATATTCCTCATTAACAGGCAATCTTCTTCAAACATGTTTTTTGTTATTTCCTTACTAGCTTTACAAAATCTACAAAAGTATGTAGCTGAAAATGATCTAGAAAATTCTAAAATCGAATTTAGTCCAAGATTATCTCCTAAGACAAGTCCTAACACAAAATAAACCCGTGTGTCTCCTCTTTCAGGAGTAGAGATAATTATGCCATCGTTTTCCAAACTATATAAATCATCTATAAGACTTTTAAGACAAGATTCATTACCATAATCTTTCATATCAACTGATTTAATAATAGCTGCTAAAAAAATATTGGTAAGCTTTGAATTGTTTTCTAATAATGGAAATGAATAATAAACAGCACTAACAGCTTGAAAAGTAGAATGGGAACCTAGTGGGTTATTTATTTCTAGATCATCTATGAATAAAAAATATGGAAACACTATTTTATCAGAAAAATTCACCAACTTGGTTTTCCATAAATCACCTTGAATGAAATTTGTCAAATTGTTAGAAGAATTTAAGTTATTTATACGGTCAAGTGATAACTGAAAATTATTTTCATGTTCAAAAAATTTTTTGAATTGGAATTTCATGGGCATTAATAGACCTTTTGTAACATGTTCATCATACACCACTTCTCCTTTATTGTATACAGAAGTTACTTCTTGGTTAATTATTATCTGGTTTAAATTACTTATGTACTGCTCTTGCATGAGCCAATTCATTAAGCGGTATTCAGTATTACAAAGTGTAAATGTGTTTGATACATCCAATGACAATTCTTTGAATGATGATAATAACAGTGGGTCATTAATTTTTTCCTTTACAAAATTGTCTAATAAAGTAGCTATAGGTTTTGTTATGAGTTCTACAATGCCTTTTTGAATATTCAAGACATCTTGAAATGTGATGTTATTCTTAACATGTAAACCGACAACAAATTGTACAGCAGATTTATGGAGATCAGAAATTGCTGATTGATAATTAAAGCCATTAAAAGTATCATTTTGTATAAATAAAGATGGTGTATGAGATGTGGTATTCAGAGGGAAAGAACTTGTGTTGTTAATAATATGACTTTGAGTAGGTACAGAATCAGTTGATCTTAACTTAAAATGTTTGTTTTTAACATGCCTTTTAAACGAACTTAAGCTCTGAAATGACTGAGAGCATGACTCTTCACAACAGTCATAAGAACTATCAGGGCCTAGTAAATGTAAAACTTTGAAATGGATAACTAATGACTGTAATTGTCCACACTCACGTTTACATATGTAACAAATCATTATCAAAACTAACTTAAAATGCCTATTTAACAATTTTACCTACCAAAATTATAATCTCTTTAATAATTATACAGGTAGGTACTCACTGTTATTATATTTTTACCAGGCTATAAAAAATAACTTTACAGTTTTAATTGTTGAATATAATTTTCATTTTAAGGTTATCATTCAATATAATTAGGTGCCTATATGAAAATATATTTTCATAATAATATTAAATTATATAAATATTAATTATACTAAACATTACAAGAATTAGGTACCACATGAATATTTGAGTATGAATAATTTGCTTTTAGGATTAAATATTATTGGAATTTGATCCAGCGTAAGTCAGCCCTACTTTAACTGTTCATATTGGTAATACACGAGTGATATTTTTTATAAAAGAAGGAATCAAATAAACAGAAATTCAAAAAGGTGATTTGTTTCTACATTAGGTATAGGTACATAATTATTTTGATATTGGGACACAAAGAATGAAAATCACAAACTGTGAAATTTAAAATAACAATAATTATACCTACCTAATTGTATTTAATATTTTAATATAGGTATATATGTACCTTAATAAATAATTATTATTAGTTATATTTTGTTAAAACTTACCTTCTAACTTCTAAGTGAACTGTATAGATGACTTGTGGTGAAAACTTTAATTAACTTTCATTAAATTCGATAACGTCACACATTGAATACAAAAAATATATTACCTATACAGAATGTATTTAACTGAAAACGTAAAAATCGTTTATATAGAAAAATTTAGGAGGTATAATAGGACAAGTGACACCGGTGAGACACGAGGATTTTAGTATCATTCGTAACGGTCCGGGGTCGTATGGAGTAGCTATAATATCTTAGTGACTATACAACAGGATGGCGCGGTGCGGAGGGAATGCCGCCGCAATCGCAAAGTTATCACAGTGGAAATACCCCAATAATACCAAAATAATTTTAACCATATAATATTTTTTGTAAAATTAATCAAAAGATTTGATAAAATAACAACGGTAATGTTATTTTTTGTATTTTGATTATCTTTTCTAATTTAACAAAAGTTTCGTTAATATTTTAATGAATAGATATGTTGAAATAATAATACTGTTTCATTATTTTTATATAATGATTTATTTTTTCAATGATGAATGTTTATTTTAACATAATATTTCTTGTAATTTATTAATAAAGTATAATTTATTAAAATTACAATGCATTGTACAAATTATAAACATTGATATTGTTGATTTAATTAATTATTAGTGGAGATTTACACCGAGTTTGTTAATTTTAAAAATTAATTTTAATTTTAATACTATACTTATAGTATTAACAAAATAGATGTTCGTTATTTGTTTACAAAGTTGATTTGTTAATTTTACCTACAATATTTTTTTCAGTGTACCTGACCGATCGATACAGAAATAAAACGTAAATGATTTTACTGGAATACATTTGCAACGAGTTATGTTTACTTTGAATAAAATATTTTGATGATTTTTCGATGAAATATTTTCTGTTGTTTAACTTTCGGTGTACATATTATACTATTCAGACGGTTCTGATTTATTATTTTTCGTATTAAATAAGGTTCGGTAAATATTTTTCTTCTTTAATATCTACGGTCTTGACGAAATATTTTCGGATATTTTAAGCATCCCCATAAAGTATTCAATAACTATGCCAAATATACAAAAAATTACCCACTCAACTAATATTGTTTGGAGAAAATATTGTTGCCAACAAATTTCTGTGAGCTGATACGTATAAGAACAGAGATGATTTTATTCGTGGATTACTGAAAATAATTTTAAAAAAAAATGATTTTGCGTGAACGCGTTTTGTCCATGTTTCGAGAGGTATAATAAATTACAGTGCGCTGATGACCTATTAAAAAATTAAAAATTTTTATACATTTTTTATTTTATTTTTTTATTAAGTCTTGGAGCATTTCTTACAACATTTTAATCAATTTTTACACATTTTTAAACATTGGTATGTAGGCATACAATATAATGGCATATGGCCAGACAGTAACGGGCGTAGACATTATTTTAGTAGGTAATAATTTAATCTGTGGTAACAGTTTAACTATAATACCTAACACTCGTCGGCAGCCGTTATTGCATCTACAAATAATATAACTAATTAGAAGAGATAACAATACGTTTTCCGTTTTGATTTCTCATGACGAAAAATAATCTACGAAGAGCAGGAAAAAAAATAAGTGTGTTATTATGTTGAAAAAAAATTAATACGAGCAGCGTATAACACGAGTCTAAATAATA